ATTTAATATAAAAAACTGAAATGTGCTTCCAGCATCCTCCTTCCATTACTTTCTGATTTTGTTATGTTTAACATTTATTCTATGGTTCTAACATTTACACTGAATTTCATAACTAATTTTTCCATTTTCTTCAAATCTCAGTTTTATATCTAAGTGGATTTCTTTTTTTACCACCAGTACTTTCCAACTGTGGCTTCTCAGTTATTGAGATCTTAATTTTGATTCATCTTTTTTTTTCCACTTGCATTTCATAATCAAATTTTTAAGACAGGCTCTTGGACTCTATTCCATGATTTCTTGCATATTCATGAATTTATTTCTTTTATACTAAAATGTCAACTTAACTGAATATAAAAAGTCTTGAGTCACGCTTTTTTCATATGTATTTCATAAATTCTTCACTCATTTTTAACATAGGATTATGTGCAAATGTCTAATGTCATTCATATTTTTCTTTTTTGCATAATTTGTCCGCTGGATGTCTCTAGGATGCTTTTAATTTTTAAAACCAATTTAAATCTAATTTTATCTTTTTCAGTTAAACTCTGCTGTGCTTTTTAATGTCATATAGTTCGGAGATATGGTAAATTCAGTAGCCTTTACCTTTACAACCTCTACCAATTTCATCTCCTGGGCTTGTTTTTCTGTTCGATTCAGAAATCTAAATATTTATCGGATTGTAACAAAGATACAGAAAATGTGCGTATCATGTCTAAAGTGAATTAATTTTATTTTTTATTTTTATTTAAAATTTTTTTTATTGGAGTTCAATTTATCAACATATAGCATAACACTCAGTGCTCATCCTGTCAAGTGTCCCCCTCAGTGAATTAATTTTATAAATGTGGATACTCCAATGTGAATAGTATATGGATAAAAAACAGCATAATACCAGCATTCTGGAGGTTCCTTCATGCTACATGCCAGCTGTTCCTTCTCCAAGTAGTGATCATTTTCCTGAGTTTTTTTTTTTTAAGATTTCATTTATTTGAGAAAGAGAGAGACAGAGGGAGAGAGAGAGAGAGAGAGAGAGAGAGAGAGAAAAGGGCACTAGCAGAAGAACCTGCAGGCAGAGGGAAAGGAAGAAGCAGGCTCCCTGCTCCCCAAATGCAGGGCTCAATCCGAGAGCCTGGAATCATGACCTGAGCTGAAGGCAGATGCTTAACCTACTGAGCTACCAAGGCTCCCCTATTTTCCTGACTTCTAAGAGCTAAAAAGTATTGCTTATTTTTTTAAAAATGGAAAACAAAATAAAATTTTGTTTGATCAATAAAATTTCACATAGACACAAAGAAAGATGGAAGGTAACATAAAGTTTATACAGTTTTTACCAATAAAAGCAGTTGTTTACAGATAGCATAATGTCAAGTGAAAAGAGGCATGTATATTTTCAACAATCACATTTGAATAAAATTTTTGAGCAATTTGAAAGTAGACAAAATTTCTATGCCTGAAGCTATCCTTGATTGTACTTCTGTGAAAACGATGGTTAAGTTTTGATTCATTCTCATATTTTAATAATACTTTTTTTTTAAACCTTAGGTTAGTGATGATAAGCCTATTTAGCAAGGTCTTTGGGAAAAACTTTTAAGTATTGCATACAAATAAGCATGAATCATAATCACACAGGCCCATTAAACTATTAAACAAAAAAACTACCAGCATACTTGAAGTCCCTCTTCACTATCCTGACTTCTAATACCAGATAGTTTTTGTATACTATATAAGTGGTATCATACACTATTTTTTTGTGGCTTCTTTCACTCAACTTTATATTTGTGAGATTCATCCTCATTGTTATGGCCAGTTATACTTTGTTCTTTTTCATTGCTGTCTCATATTTTATTGTGTGACTAAACCACAGTTTACCCATTCAACCATTACTAGGTATTTGTGCTTTTTTTGGCTATTACAAATAGTGTTGCTATGGGCATTTTTATATGTCACATGTCTTCTGGGGCAATGTAAATAAATATTTTAAGTATATACCTAGGAATGGAATTGTTTAATTGTAGGGTGTGCATGTGTTCAGATTTAGTAGATTCTGCTGAAGAGTTATCTAAAGTGTCCATTCCTATCAGCAATAAATGAGAGTTCTGGCTTCTCCGTGTCCTTCTCAGTACTTGATACTGTCTGATGTCTTCATTTTAGTAATTTTTAGTGGGTTTGTAGTGATAACGCAATGCAGTTTAAGATAAGTCATTTAATAGCTCTGTACTATTCAACAGCTTTTTTCTACTCATACAAATATATATTAATTTTTAAAGATATATTAATTTTTTATTCAACATTTAACACATAATTATTTATAATATACTACTGAACGAAATTATCCCTGCTTAAGAAATAGAACATTATCTTTGTAGAATTCCTCATTTGTCTTTGAAATTCAGTATTTTGTTTTCTTTTTTACTAGTTAATCATTATTTTTAACTTATATATTTTGTAGTAATATAGTTCCAGAAGAAGTGGAGATAATCTTACTCTCTACCTCAAAGTCACCTTCTTTGTTTCATCTTCTTTACTTATCCTCCTCCTATTTCTTACCTTCCACCCAATTGCCAAATATGTTAAAATATGTGACTGGTAAACATTTATTTGGGCATTTTCTTCCAAAACATTTCTTCTTTCTTCACATTTTCGTATACATCGTTTTCCCTGTAGATCTCATACTAGTTTTTAAATCTTTTTACTCAGCCCTATATTGCAGTATCTAAGTTTGTATATGTATTGTTGTATAGTTTTCCATAATATGACCTATCGCAAGTAACTTGTTTGTTTCCTTGTTTGTTGCCCATATATATATATATATATATATATATATATATATATATATATATACCAAATATAATTTCATACTCAAAGATGCTGTCCAGCGTCAATATTCCCAAACAGTACATGAAGGTTCCTACATCCTTCTCTCATTGTTTTTTTAATTTGCATTTCTCTAGTTATTTCTCTAGTTATAATATATGCCAACATTTCTTCTTATACTTCATATACTTATACTTCATTTTGTTTTTTTGAGAAGTCATACCTTTTGTTGTTGATATAAAGACATTCTTATGTATTATTTATATATTCTAAATTAAACCTTATTGGTTTTAGATATTGTAATGTCAGATTTTTTTCCAATGTGATTGGTCTGCAAATTTTAACTAGGTGTCTGTCATTCAGAAAAGATTTTGTAAGTTTATTTTACAAGCAATCCTAATGAATTCTTTTATCAATGTTAATAACTTGGCTATGGATTCAGCTTCTTCTAATATTTTTCTTAGTTTTATTGCTCTTTATCAACTTTTCCTAGAATACAAACATGCCCTCTTAATCTATAAATAAAGCATTTTCTTCTTTTCAGGAAAGTACGCTTATTGAAAATCTTTGGATTTGTAAATATGTGTTCTACATTCATGTATTACTGTGTTATGTTGTCATAATTGGTATTACTGAATATATGTTCTCTTCTCATATTTAGTAATAACAATTATGCATATATTGTATTTCCTTTCTCTTCAATATCTATTATTTGATCTTTGTTTTATTTAGTCTTTTTTTTGTTCTTGTGTCCCAAAATACAGAGTATAAATGTGTATGTATATGTGTACACACTGCTTCTAATGTTGATTTGATTTCTATAATTGTTTCCTATCATTTTCTTCTGAGCTCTGTGGTATCATTTCATATTTTTAGTATTACTAATTTTTTTCTTCATGTTTTCTTTAATTCATTTGAACTCAAGAAGATTCGAGTTAATTAGAAGCTGTTGATTCACGGTAACATTCTTCTATTGGTATTTTCTTTATAAGCATTTTCCTCTTACATTGTTCTTTTCCTACTCATTTAATTTTTTATCTATGTGTATGTCAGTTCTTTCTGATTTTTACTAATTTTAAATAGGGCATGTATACCTGGTTCAAATATTTGCTGAAATTAATTAAGGATGAGAGATGAAAGCTAAAGTGCTGAAAGTTTAGGACAGACTTTCACCATCTCTGTTTTGTCATTCCCTAAAGGAAAGTCTCCTGTCATTATTTACCCTTCTCATGTCTGTTGAGCAGAAAGTCTTCAGAGTTTTCACAGGAAAGCCCTATGTTCCACATGTCTATGATGTATTTAGCAGCTATTTATTTTTGTCTGGCTTGGATTAGCTACCACCAAGATGACTCTTCTTGTCCACTTTCTGTAAATATGACATTTCCATGTGGTTTCTTATTCAGCCTTTCCTCACTCATCAGCCTTGTTTTAGAGCACCTGTATTCTGCTCACACCTTCTATGTAAGGTTTCATTGACCCTTTCAGAGTTGTGTCATCTACTTTGAGGGAGCTCTGCACAATTTAAAGTATCTATAGAAGTTTGCACTTGCTCTTGACACCTTCTGCCATTTTGGTCGCAATAATTTTTTAAAATTTCTGTTTGGAGATTGTGATTTGGGGTGTGACTATCTCTGAGTCCCATTGAAGATACAGCTTTAATTTCTTATATTTGGTTGTTGTTTCAGTTGGCATTCAGAAGAAAATGGATAAAATTACAGAAGGGAAGAATGCTTACTTTACTGAAGTTGGATAAAACTGGTCAGTAAAAATATTTTTAATTGTTTATCTTTTAAAGTTTATTATTATTATGAAATGTTTTACATTTTTCTATGGGATCAGGTGGTATGATGCTTTGTGGTGAGTGTGTAATTACTGCAGAATGTAAAATTTGGGACCCAAACAATGTTGGTGCATGCCAAGAATTTGAAAATCAACATCCAAACAGCAGTAGAATTTGCTGAAAAACAAAATGTAAAGTTATTATATCACTTAGTTTTATTAGGAAATCATTCTGGTATTGGGCACCACTGAGGAGATTGCCATATGTGATATAAATACATTTATTAGTCAGGAATATTTTCAGGTACAAGTGATAGAAATTCAGTTGAAGCCATCTTAAGTAGAAAGAGAATTTATTGATTCCTACAACTGGGTACTCTAGGAATGGTATTTACTTCGTCTTGTATTGCTGCAAAATGCTGGTTATTTTCAAGTCATTCATATGAAGAACACACATCACTCCTAGAAGAGAATTTCTTGCTCCCAATATCCACACATGAAAGATTCCTCTTTCCTATTGTCCATACTGTTTGACCCACCTTGGATCATATGTCCATGCAGGTGTATGAGAATGGGTGGTACAGTCCGCCAGGAACAAAGCATGCAGAGTCACTGAAGTCTCTTCTGTTTTGTTTTGAAAGGTATTAGCACAATGAACAAACCATAAGACTAATCTATTTCATTGATCTTTATTCTTTAGTTGCAGATTGAAAGACCAATGTCTCTGGGTTTTTACCTTGGTAGCTCCAAGTTTTGTAGGGAATTCTAGGTTCAAAGAATCTGTCATTTCTGGTGGAAGTGAATGAACTAGGCTTCAGAGTTTCTGTAATCATCTTAAATCACAGGGAGAGACACGGAAAACAGAACATTAAATGTAGAGGAACTGAGTCCTTTGTGGCATCATTTGATCGCTATCAAGTGTTGGCCAAAGAGACTCTTCCTCTGATTGTCTTCATATGTGAGATAATAGACTTTTTTTTTTCAGTTTTTTAAAGGCATTGTAGGGGCAGCCTGGTGGCTTGTGGTTTAGTGCTGCCTTCAGCCCAGGGCCTGATCCTGGAGACCTGGGATGGAGCCCCACATCAGGCTCCCTGCATGGAGCCTGCTTCTCCCTCTGCCTGTGTCTCTGCCTCTCTCTGTCTGTGTCTCTCATGAATAAATAAATGAGATCTTTTTAAAAAAAGGCATTGTAGATCAGGTATTCTGTTACTAATAATCAACAACATGGTAAGTAATAAAGCAGGACATTTTGGTCCTTAGCCTTCACTAATAGTGTAAAAATATTTTTCTGAAAATTAAAAATCTACTAATCTGGACATGTCATATTCACTTTAATGTTCTTCCTATAATGCCTACTATTCTATCTGTTTCTAGAATCTGCCTCCTATGTAGGATATCCACATTTCACTTTTGACTTGACTTGCTAACTTGGTTCATCCTTCCGAGTCCAATCCAGCTTCTTCATTATCTCTAAGGTTGATCTTTTTCTTACTATTTAGTGATAATTTGGCCACTTGTATTTTCTCTTCTATTTGAGTCATTACTATTTATTAGCTCTCACATGACTCCAGCATAAATAAGTGACCTACCTTCTAGTTTGCTCTTTCTAAGTGACTAAGCTTCGTGTAGAGACATGGCATCAGTCCTTCTAATATGATTGGGTTTAACATGGAGCTGATCCTCAGCAAAAGTTTTATACATTGAAGAATAATGGGAAAGATGGAACAATTGGTGGGAAATTAAAAAAAAAACAAAGTTTTTTGATTTATTATTTCCATAATCTTGATCCCATTTGACCCATGTTCTAGTATATTAAACTATGGATAAATTATTATTATTTTTTTAATATTTTATTTATTTATGCATGAGAGACATATATAGAGAGAGGCAGAGACACAGGCAGAGGGAGAAGCAGGCTCCATGCACCGGAAGCCCGACGTGGGATTCGATCCCGGGTCTCCAGGATCGCGCCCTGGGCCAAAGGCAGGCGCCAAACCGCTGCGCCACCCAGGGATCCCTGGATAAATTATTTTTGAAGTATTGCTTGAGTAAAACAGATAAGTCATAGAGAAATCATGGCCTTATACAATCTAGTAGTTAACTCCTAGGAAAATAATCTATTAATAATTCAGGAAATTAGTTGAAAAACTCACTTTGGCTGTCTGGTCATTAACATCTAATGCACTCAGCTTTTCTGTACCACAGTGTACAACTTGGTGATTTTCCCAGGGCTAAAGTCCAAGTGAAGCTCATAGGCTTGTAGGCAAAAAGAAAGGAAACAGAAGTGCAAAGGACAAATTAGAGTTGTTTCTTATTTATGTTGCCTAAATCTGAGTGAATGCCTTGTTAAAAATATCAGTCCTAATGTTCTTAAATATCATATATTGCATTTCTGCATTCTAATCAGTATTTCAATATATTTTGTATTGATATTTGAGTAGGAGATGATGAACTTTCCTCCTAATTATTGATTTGGCTATGACATTTCCAGATTTCTTTTTGCTATATCCTTATTTTCTGCAACTGTAAAGTTTGCGTGGATCCAGTGTAAAAATTGCATTACTCATTTAGCTCCGTAGCACATGTTCAGCTTGTTGCATCTGAACTCAATATGGTGCATATTTTTTCTGCTTTGCATGTGAATATAATTCAAGATGCTTGTTTTAATTTTAAATGCCTACATGATCTGGCTTCTAACTAGAGAATATTTAAGGTACGTTTCTGATTATCCATATTTATTATTTAGATGGGAGTTCAGAAAAATCACTGAACAGCCAGATTTTTTTCCTTTATAACTTTAGTACATTTATGATGTTTCAATTGCTCTGAGGATACATACTTTAGTTTATCTCTTAAAAGGTAATCAAAGCTGTTCAACCAGTTGTGTGAAATTTGAAAAGCATCATTAAATTCATTAGTTGCTAAACAGCAAAGATGAGTTTATATTAAGAAAAAGACTTCTAAATGTGTGGATGCCTTCATTTTGAAAAACATACATAATAAAAATGACAAATTATGTGGTGAACACCATTCTAAAATATTTAGATGTATTTATGGACTTGAACCCCCAAAATAAGCACTCTAATTATTCCATTATGTTGGAAGGGAAACTGAAGCACAGTGAACAAATTACTCAAGGTCAAGCAGTTAATAAATGCCAGTGTTAGGATCTAAATCCAAGCAGTCTAGCTAGATTCAGAAGTTGTATATTTGATGGCAAAGAATACTGCCTTTCAGGTAGTTGGTAGGTTGGATTGGGAAACAATGGGGCCAGGTGTGAGGGGAGGCAAAGAGAAAGGGTAGATTTTAGGTCAAGCTCTACCCCTTCTGGAATTCAGGGCCTAATTGCAGCAAAGGATTTACTAAGACTTTATTTGTGTGTGTGTGTGTAAAAGATAGGATACAACTTTTGTACCCTTCAGGTTGGAGCTATCTAAGGGTGAAAAGGCAGCATTTTCACTGAAAATGAAATACATGTTAGCTCATTACTTTCCATGCAACATGTCAAATGAAGTAGTCCAATCTCAGAAAGGTAAAAAAGGTAAAATCACAAATAATATATCACCCTTACATGCCAACCTCTTCAATGAGATATCTTTAATTTTGTTTTTTTCTGAAGACTGAAAATAGAAAGTTCAAGTGAGCTAAACAGCTGCTGCTTACAGCCGCACCTCTCAATTTCCACTCTTTTTTTTTCAATCCCTAAGTATGACTATCCAACATCTTTTCATTAGTATCAGTATTTCCACTTTAAAAAATTTCATTCCAAAAAATTAAAAAATAAAAAATTTCATTCCTATTTTTGTATAATACTAAAATGTATAATAAACACTCATTTTTTAAAATAATTTGAACACTCACAATATACAAATCAAGATGGTAATGAACACAAAGCCACCATTTAATATTTTGAAGTGGAGCCATAGGAAAATAAATAAAAATCCAAATTTGGTATATAAAGGTAATATAGTTCATATCTACAATACATATAGATAAATTATGTAAATGTCAAGCATCTTATGTATTCATACATACCAGCTACCTCAATATCTCTAATGCTGTTGTGAATCAAAAAACTGAGAGTTTTCTAATTTTTTTGACTTGCTGTTATGTACCATATTTACACTATCATGTTATTTGCAATAAAAACTACTGTTAGTTTGTGGTCTAGGGGCCTTGCATAATAATCAGGAAAATTAGACTTCTATGTCATTTTTACTGAAATGGCTGCTGAGTGATTTATTTTCCTTTCTCCTACTTCTGTTTAATCATCTTCAAAATGAGAAGAATATCTAGTCATTGATATAAAATACCATCCAATTATTATACATTTTAAATTAAAGAGTCCAGGGTTATTTTAAGTACTGGAATGAACAAATAGTAATTTTATAAGTTGTTGATGTATTATAGAAATAATACAGAAATCACCTCAAGTTTTCCACTTTAAATTAAATTTCTAAATCAGAGGATTCAATAAAGAGTAATGAAAATATTTCAATGAGAGTAAAACCATTTCAATTACTACAACCATACTCTTTATGTTTTTTTCCTTCATGAACACATTACTGTATTTCTCAAATCAAACCCTGGATGAGAAAGAATCAATTACACCTCAATGTAAGGCTCTGATAAATGCTTCTTAAATCTGCATGACTTACTTAGTTTTTTGTGTGACATGTGCACACACATACATCTACAATCATTTAGAAACAATGTTTAAAAGCACAATGCAATTTTCCCAGATTGGAATGGAAACATCTAGGTAATTACTTGAACAAATCCATTTCCCCCTCCTTTTTTTTTTTTTAACCCTTCCTTACTTTCCTGTCTTGTTTTTTATCACTCAGCTTTTTGTTTTCAAGCTCATATTATTACACTAGGCACTACTCCTCATGATGGCAAGAACAACGTCTTTGCCTTTATGGAACTTACATAATGTTGGAAATGGAGAAGCAAGGAAAAAATAAAGCAGAGGAATAAACAGTAAAATTAGTTATTGTTAATATTTTAAAGCATTATTGAATTTAGTGATATAAGAGTTCGCTATAACAGAGAGTGACTAGGTGTCATCTTTATGTTGGGTGATGAGGGAAGTCTTCTCTGATGATATGATAAAGACGTTATGAGGCAGTTGTGGCAAGGGGGGAAGAGGATCAGGAAAAACAAATGATGCCAAATTTCTCAGGTGGAATAGAAGGTAACTGAGGTTGGGGCAAAGTGGATCAGCAGAGAATTAATAGGGCAATTTTATAATTCTATTTCGTAATTCAGATTACTAAAAGGTAAACATAAATATCTGCTGGTATGGACCATAAACCTTCTCTCTCAGCTATATTGGGAAGAGTATGCACTTAGAAATCACAAAATCAAGCTTTTGAATCTTGGCCTGGCACCTTGTAGCTGGGTGATAGCATCTCAGCCTGTTTTAAATTTGGACAATGTAATTTAATTTCCCGAATTGCTGTAAAGGTCCTGACCTAATATATGACACACAGTAGTTACTCATACTGTAGCTATTAACTTTCTAATATTTCAAGCTCTGTTGCTTGACAAAGCTATGACCTCATCCATTCATACATGTAGCTTCTCATTCCCTCACTAGATAGTCATCCACTGGTTGACAACTGCGAAAAAAGGCACAGAGGTAGTTGTTATTCCTTGCTTTAGCAGGCTAGGGGATGACAAAGCTCAGGGCAGAGGGATGATCATGAACAAGGTACCTCTGCTAATCTATCATAAGGAGGATTTGGGACTCTGCCAACATAAGGATCCAAGACAAAAACTAGAGTTCTCCAAAGCTGCTGGAGATTTTTTCCTCACCCAAAATATATATGTTTTGTTTGTTGAAGAATAATGTGGGTGTTATTCCTGGATTACTGTAGAACATGCTTCAAAGTTACTGAAGCACATTGGGCACTAAATAGTTCTCCTTCTGGCTCTATGTTCTCCCACCAAAAATTTGGTCTAGGGAAGGGGGTTTAGAAGCAGATAAATGGAAATATGGGTTACTGTTAAGAATGATGCTGAGTAAGATGTGCATTTGGAGGGAGCTATGACAAGAGGGAAGGAAGCAAGGAGGAAGTTCACAGAGGATATTACTGTTAATATAACAATTTCACCTGTCTCCTGACGGGTTTCCATTGTAAGGTTTGCATACATATTTTACCTCTCAGCCAAGTTTTATTTTTAGAATGACAAAAAACCCCAGAAAAGTATTGGGTAAATAATGTTAAGTATTGGAATAGCTTCTCGTGAAGTCTCCCAGTGGCCTTCGCCTATACAACTTACCTGTGCTTTTTTTCAGGTGAAATTTGTGACTCGAGTATGGTATTTTGCCTTTTCATTTTCTCTCTACTGCTTCTTCTTTCCAATGTTACTGAAATAAAAATGATTCTGCTCATGTAGCTGGACATGCTTTGAATATAGGACAGGCTTTGTTACATTTTTCTTCCTGTAGACAAGAATCTATTTGAGCTTGAATCAAGGGTCACAGAATAAAACTAATCAAGAAAATAGAGAAACACATGTTTCTATACTCTGGCGGTAGAAACTGAATTCCCTCTGGCTTTGTGCCCATCTCGCAAATCCATCCCTTCTCCCTGGGTACCTTTGTGGGCTGGCTCTATCTCCGCATGACTCTGCTCACAGTACTAAGGGCCAGGTGTATTTATCCTTCCTCTATTCTAACAGCCACCTCTATATCGATGTACTCTAATATGGTATCTCTGGACAAAAATTTGCTCCTGGTATTAAGACTCATATATCCAAACTTTCTTGACTTCTCCATTTAACCTTTTGCCGATGGCTCAAAGTGTAATAATTTGCTCACTCAAACCTATTTTGTATTCCCACCTCACCCAACACTACTACTTGTATCATTGATTCTTCATTCTCCATTAACTTTCAGTCTCTCAATTATCAAGTCCTGTCAATACTGTCTTCTTAATTTCCTATAGATCTGTCCTCTACTTTCCATCTGCATTGTAACCATTGCCTCATTTCAGACAACTGGAAAGCTCACCTGAAATACTGTATACTCATAAATGGTCTCCTTTCTTCCATTCTTGTCCTCCTTGCCAATTATATACACAGCTACCATGTGATCCTTGCCATTTACCCACTTAAAATCCTCAAAAGATTCATCACTGTGTTCAGTTAAAACCCACACTTTGTCGGCATGGTATGCAAGCCCCCTCCAGTTGTGGGTCTTAGTAAGTGGTTGCCAATCTTCCTGCTGATTTTTGTCTCTCCCTTTTTGCTCCCTCCTCATGTAGGTACCCAGCCTGAGCTGGAACTACATGATAGTTTTGTACTTGCTAGATTTTGCCATTGCTTTTTTTTTTTTTTTTTTTTTAAGTTTGGTTGTTTATTTTTAAGTAATCTCTCACCTAACCTGGGACTTGAACTCATGCCCCTCTCCCCTGCCCTCCCATCAAGAGTCACATGCTCTTCTGATGGAGACAGCCAGGAGCTCCTGTCATTTCTTTCCTATGTTAATTGTTTGTACCTGTATATTTGCCACTGCTTCTGCTTCCCCCTTACACACTCACTCATTTTTTTCATTCTTCAGTATAGATGTCAGCTCCTCCAGGGAGCCTTCCCTGATTTTCCAAAGTCAGAATTAGATGTCTCTATGTGCTCCTTAGTAACACAGGAGGAAGTGCTAATTACTAGAGTGACCTATCACATTCTTGTGTGGCCATTGGATGGTCTGTCCTCCCACATGTACTCTTTCTCTTCTTATCCTTTAGACCATGAGAAGTTCAAATCATAGTAGCTACTTAATAAATATTTATTAAAAAATAAGTGAACAAATGTCTTCTTCACATTGAAATGTTGTTATATAGTTAAATGATGCTATCAGAATAGATGTGGAGGGCAGCCCGGGTGGCTCAGCAGTTTAGTGCTGCCTTCAGCCTAGGGTGTGATCCTGGAGACCCGGGATCGAGTCCCACGTCATGCTCCCTGCATGAAGCATGCTTCTCCCTCTGCCAGTGTCTGTGCCTCTCTCTCTCTCTGTGTGTCTCTCATGAATAAATAAATAAAATCTTAAAAAAAAAAAAACGGATAGATGTGGAATATGCTGCCTTTTTCTGCCTCCACAGATGAAGCATCTATGAAGTGGGTAGCCTAACATATAGAAAGTTACTTTTTTCTTTTTAAAATTCATTTTCAAATAGCTTTTACAGGGTAGGTAGACATAATCACTGATAGTCTGAAATTCTGTCATAAAATGGTATTTGTTATATGCACATACTTTTCAGTTATAGGTAAAAAAAAAACCCCTCATATTCTATGATTCTAACTATGTTCATTATTCACAAGATAATTATCAAAAAATCTTTTTTTGTTAATAAAATAATTCTTCACTCATGGAATGAATCTTTTTTATTTAAATATTAGTATAATCAAAGTACTAGAAATAAAAAATATAAAAATATAATTTTTTCCTATTAAAAAAATGGAAGAAACTAGAAGATAGTCTAAAAAGTGTTCTTTAGAAGAAAATCTAAAGAATCAGTCTTCTTCCTAATCCTTATTCTTGATACTTTCTACTCCATCGGCATAATAAATTAGAAGATTTTTGGTGAGTACTCTTATGTTAGTGTGGGACCAAACTAGTCTATTGCTCTGATTTACACGAGATGTTGATTAAGGGGGCTTAAGAACACCATTGAGTAAGTGCAAAATTGTGATGTACAGAACCACATTTAAAATTGTTTCTAAAAATTGAATGTCACGTTATGGTAGATTGAAAGCTTTCATACATACAGAGAGAAAAAGAGTCTATGACATGGGATATTAAAGGAGCACAGTGAAAAAAGGAAACCAAGATAAAAAGAGTGAGAAAGGAAAATATATTTTAACAGCAGGAAATGATATGACATGACATGAAAAAAAAAAAGAATAATAGTGTAGAAAGACGGGTGGGAGAACTAAAAGTCAGAATTAATGACAAAAATTAAAAAGTCTGTTTAAAGAAAAATGAAAAGAAAATATAAAGGAGAGCAAAAGGATCTTTCAACTATGAATTTTGGTGCCCAAATATTGTTTTATTTCAAGAATGTCAGGATAGTATTTTTATATTGCATTATTTTCAGAATTTTCTTAAATTTAAAGTGTAAGATTCTTCACTTTGACAATGTGAAGGCACACAGAACATCAGTGTATCATTAATGCAGTGGTCTCCAACTGGTTTGGCTTAGTGCATCAGGATACTCTGTGCCATTTGTATCCTTAACAGCTGGGCTATGACACTGCTAGCTGAGCAGGTTTTTACTATTTCTTTAATTTTTTTTTTCTTTTTAATGCATTTAAAAGAAATGTTACCTGGACACTTGGGGGCCAGATAATTAAGACTGTAGTAATAAAATATGGGTGTATAGCTTTTTTAAAAGTAGAATGTTGTTGCTTTATTCTCTAACCTCCAGCTTCTCAGGAATCTAACACTCAATAGTTAATTATTTTCTTCCTTAGTGCCTTTTTTTGGAGTCTGTTACTGATATTAACTACTTAATTTTATCCCAGATGCATGAAGGCAGAATATTATAATAAAAATAAAAATATTCACCTGGAATATTAAAAAATTAAACTTCATAGACTTATCCTAATGGCAGATGATAAGCTCCAAAATATAAACCAGGTTATTTTCTGCCCATACCCCCTCCCCCCATTAACAATGTAGTGATAGAACTCATTTGGCAAAGTGGTTGCTAAAGTTCATACCAAAGAAAAACAAACAGATAATGCTGGAGCTATAGCAAATGTGAGACAAATATTCATTTTCTAGGTTTAAAGCCTTTAATGCATCTCAACACAGATTTGCCGAGACTTTGTGATTTTGAAGGTACTGTGTTAGAAAGACAGGCAACAGGCAGGGAAGCATACCAGAATATAATAGACACTAAAAGCAAAGTATCACAAAGGTATGAAGCGTTCAAAGGAAGAAAGGCATCATCATTAGCTGGAAGAATCAGGAAATCTAATAAAGGATAAGCCATTTGAGATAGGTTGGATTTGGAGGATCGAGACATAGGGTATGACTACTTAATTTCCACTGTGATTCCTCAAGTTCAGGTACTCATCCTACTTTATATGATATCATCCTTTTGCTGATTTCTTCCTGCATTTCCAACTTTGTGTCCAAGCCCTCCACCATGTAACCTCACTGAGAAATAACCATACCAAAATCTAATCCGTGTCTCCTGAGTAAACCCAACATTTTTTTTTTCCCCCCAAGTCACTTTGCTCCTACTCTTCACTACGCTCTCTGCTCGCTTCACTGCCTTCTCTCCTTACCTGAAACACGTTGCAAACGAATACAGGAGGTTTGGTTCACTGTCAACGTCCTCCCTGACCCCTCCTTGAAGAACTCTGTTACCTCCCAGGGATTTCCACATCTTCTTATTTGCTGTTTGATTACTGTGTCTCGATTTAGGGATCACTTCAACTCTAAGCAAAGTAGGAGGTTCCCGAGGGCATGGGGGACACGGGGTGGGGTGGGGGGGTAAAGTCTGTGTCTCCAGGCCCAGGGCCTTGCAGGTGGTTACGCACCCAGTGCCTGCGGTTCCCCCATAGGAAATCAGAGCTTGGCAGAAGGCAGGATGCGCACGCAGAACTAGGGCTTGTCCAGTGAGGTTCCCGAAAAACCAACTGTGGACCCGGGGTTCACTGCCTCCTCCGACTGGGGGGCCACTAGGAGGGGGATTCCAAGGGCTGAGGCCGTGCAGCCCGGGAGCCCCAGCGCTACACGCAGCAGCAAAGCAGTTTGATTGACGGCGCTAGCGCGCAGTCCTCCCCGCCCTCGGGGTGCTTTCCCAGCCATCCCCTCCGTCTTTCTTTCCAGCCCCTTCATTCTTTTCCAGAATCCGGGAAAACACCTTCCTTCCTTTCAGACTGTGGGGGAAAAAAAACCCGGGGGCTTTCCTGCGTCTGGGAGCGGGGATTCCCCCTCCACGACCGCGCACTTCCCACCCCGCTGCCCAGGCGTTGGGCGAGCGCCGCGGAGGCGCGCGCGGGGCCCGGGGGCGCCCCGACCCCGACAGCACGCGGCCCGGGGCTCGGGGGAAGGGTCCGGCGCCCGGGAGCCCGCTAATTAGGCTCGCCCCCATTGGCTGTCCCCGTCCGTGTCGTCACGTGTTATGCTAATGAGGGGGAGTCTCATTGGCTCGGCCTCCCGCGGCAGCTGCGAAGGCTGCGGCGGGGACCCGCCGCCGGGGCTGCCCCCGGAGGAGGCCCCTGCACCCGCCTTGCAGGAAAGCGCCTCCCAGCGCGTCGCGCGCGCCCCCTCCCCTCTTTCGAGGTACCGCGCGTGTCCGGCTTTTTTTTTTTTTTTTTTTTTTTTTTTTCTTCTCTCCCGCGAAGTAACTTTTGCATTCCCGCCTCCCCCGAGTCCTGGGGACCAGAGGCGGTGCCGAGCCTGGGGGCGGTTCCTTGGCAGCGTAGATCCTTGTCGGAGCCAGACTTTTGCTCCTGGGCTCGGTTTGCATCATCCCCATCACACCCTCTGGAGAGAGGAGCCAGCCCCCTTTCAGCCTCGGCTTCCGGCTCCGAGCCGCCCCCTCCCCCGCCCAGGCCCCCTCCCCTTCCCGGTCCCCCCAGGCCCCCCCCCCCGCTTCTTGTTAGTCCTCCCCCCGCCCCCCCCCCACTCTGCAGAATTTCCTTTCTTTCTCTCGCCCTCCTCCACCCGTCGTCTGTATGTGTCCCACTCTTTGAGGAAGGATGGTTGATTTGGAGAGCGAAGTGCCCCCTCTGCCTCCCAGGTACCGATTTCGGGATCTGCTGCTGGGGGACCAAGGATGGCAGAACGACGACAGGTGAGTGGTGCGGGGCAGCTTGCTCTGGCGGTCCAGCTGGCACAGATGCCGCTCCCGGGGGGCGGGGGGGGGGGAAGGGGAGAATCAAAAGGGAGCCAGAGACTGGGGGAGGGAGTGAAGGGACTCTTGGATGTGTCTCTCCATTTTGACTGCATAGAGCAATTGCCACAGACCAGGAGCTCTTCCTTTTCACTTTCTTGTCCTTGCCACGCATTCACTGCATTTATTTGATACCCTTTTGTCTGCCTGCGCTTCTCTAGGGTGTGTGTAAGGCTGCTGCGAGGGGCACCGCACATGCAAATGGCACGCAGTGTCGGGGCCATGCAATTTTCATTCTGTCCCCCTTTAGGGGCTGCTCCTCGAATTTGCAAACGTGTCCAAGTTGGTAGAAAAAGCACGTCAGAAACTTAGAATCTCCTGCACCTGTCAGTGCCGGCCTGTGAAGGTGTTCACCTGCTACTGGGAATTTTATGCTCTTTAAACAGTTGGAGTTGATGGACAGTTGGTTTGAATATGTTAACAGGTAGTTAGGCGAAATGACGTTGTCACCGGAAAATGCTCACTTTGGGCAGGTAACTGTGATTAGTGGTGGTGTTTGTGTAGCATGACCCAACGGTTTTGTAGTTGATACGTTTTTAACCTAACTAGTATACATGTCACAAGATTAGAACTAAGTTTCAGAACTAGAGTATTTATTACTAGCAAGATACTGCTCCTGTGTTTTATCTGTAGCATGACTGCTTTGCCTAGTCGAAGTCCTGAAATTCCTCCGGCTATCTGATTCATTACTTAAAAGGCACATTTTATGTTTCATTGAATTTAGTATTTTCTGGAATAGTCATTTCATGTATCACACGCCGTATATTTTTGTCTTTAAATAACCTGTGTGTACTAACAGGCTCAACTCAGTTGAGATATTTCCTTGAAGTTCAGTTTGGTATTAATGTTCTATTTTAATTACATAAAAGATCCATTATTGGTCCTATTCAAAATCTCCTCCCCATTCGGCACTGGCCAATACTCTCCTTCTCTTCCTCACCATTTTAGCTCCCAATACCACCTCCTGTCCCTACACACAGGTGCTTTTATGTTGGGTGTCAATTTTGGACTTCCTCTTTGGTCTCATATTTGTGATTTAAAGGGATATGGATGTTTCTCAGAGGGTAATATCTCAATGCAACTTCTTTTTAAAGGCAAAACACATGTATTTGTTGAAAATTAAAAGAACAAGTGCCAGATTACCAGTATCCTGGGAAAGTAAGGTGTTTTGGGTGACTGAAGATAAGGAGATGAATATTTAAACAAATTGCCATGCTAGCTGACATTTAAATAAACCATCTTAAGCCTGGTTAAGTGGCTTGTCAAATGCACCATTGTGTTCATAGTGATTGAATCTATATTTGTTACTTCAGGACCTTAGGATCATCATGTAGAATAGGAGTCCTCACTGTAGAAAGTGAGAAATGGATTGAATTCATAGAGGATATATTTTGGGCTTTGTGGTGATAATATTTGTTTTTTAATGTTGTATGCAAGATATTAATCGTTCATGAGGTTCCCCTCATTTTTCTAAGGACGTTGACAGATATATTTCAGTAACGAGGAATCTTGGTTAGTTGAATACTACCCAAGTAAGTCACTGCTATATTAAAAAACATTTTATACATTCAGTTAAGATATCTGTTATAATGAAAGTTTATGCTAGCCCAAGTTTAATGTAAAATCTAGGCCATATTTACTATTAAAATGAGGTATTAAACATTAAAAAATTGTTCATCCTTTTAACTTTGTGACTTCATGAAAACTTAATATTTCATTTTGGCCCCATTTGTTGGTCCATCTTTGAAGACAAGATCCTTGGATGAATAGTGAGTCAGCCTTCAGTCCTGTGCCTATTTCCTCACTAGCTGAGTCACCTTGGGCAAGTCATTCAACCATTATGAGACTCAATAGTCTTATTTGTGTAAGGTACAAAACTAATAGCACTAAGCACTGGCTGTCCTCATGTTAGCTATGCTAATGGTGTATGTGTGTGTCTGTAAGGGTATATGTGTGTATGTATGAATTTTAGGAACTAAGAAACTAAGTTTCTGGGAAATTAAATATTTATCCTGGTAATATGTCTTGCAAGTGCAAAGATGATGTTTGGGTTCTGTACTTTGTGACTCCAGTTCTTCAAGAAGCTCCTAAATTCTTTCCATTTAATTTGTTTGAATTTGGAAGAATCATTTTGTAGCATCTAGTACAGTTTAGGTGCCCATTAATTATTAGTTCCCTTCTTCACTTCTCATTAGCAGTTTTCAATTCTTCTTTTATTTTTCTTCCGAATCCTGAATTATTAAGCAGTAAGTCAAGTCATCGGTTTTGTCTTTATTATGCTCACAAATAACTCTTTGCAACTGAGTCTGAGTAGTCTAATTCGACTCAGTTATCATGGACTCAATTCCTATGGAGCTGAAGAAAAAACACTCTTTCATAGAAGAATAGGTAGATGGTTTATACTAACAGATAAATTTAGTGCTTTGTCCATATTCTCTAGGCTATTTTCTCTGAATATGCTCTGCCTGAAGCATAGGCATGCTCCTATCCCCCTTCCTTACCCTCTAGTCTCAGGGGCTCCCCAGGTCTTGGGGTGCAAGCCAAAGGTGCCACTGAGTAAATTGTTAGATAAATACCTTAGCTTTCTAACTCCTTGGCTGGAATAATTCTGAAACATGTTCTACACTGTGTCCGTGGGACTAGTACCAGTTGCCCACAGATGTAATTGGTTTGATATTACAAGCTTTATTGGCTTTCTTCTCCCCTCATCCTATTGGTATTTTCTGGTATCAGTTCCCAAAAAAACAGCTGTTTCTGTGCTTATCTCAAGATATGCTTCTGGGAGAATCTGAACCAAGATTGGCTATCTTCTCTATCCAGGGTTACATTCTAGAAATGATGGAGGAATCAACTGATGGGAAAGTAGACACTTTCTACCTTGCTCTTCAGGTTAAGAATTTTCAATTAAATCTTAGTAGGGTGTGATTGACTGGCATGTGAAAATGAGTAAAGCATATGGTAGATGTATGAAGGAGTATGGTAAAAGAGAGCATTTTCTACACTATAGATTTTCTGTGAACTAACCTTGAATAGTCTGCTTAAATTTATACTGTACCACCTTTTAGTAGGGAAACACACACGCTTAAGGTCACATGTAATGTAGATGTGACACATATTATGTATAGACTGTGTGTATGTATTAATGTCATCTTTACATAACTACCTCTCTCTGATTTGCATTCTGTTAACCTTTTCTGTGTAGGACATAAAGGAGCAGAGTTAGACATAGCGTTGTAGATAACTGCACATTTAGCACACGAATAACATTAGTTTTCTGAGGCCATGAAATAACTTTGAGAGTTGCTAAATGAGAAAACTGCTATGCCTAGAGATGTCTGTTGCACATATGACTCACATTTATTTCTTTGGCATCCTGAGTAAAACACAAAAATCTAATTCAAGTGGCTCATGAAATATTTCTTAATGGTCATTTATCCATTCAGCTAATCTTTGACTACATGCTGCATCTCAGGGCCTTATT